TATATATATAATACTTAAAATGATAATATGACTATTGATTATTAATCAGTAATCACTTAAATTAGTTAAAGTTAACTTAAACAAATTATATTAAATCCATAAACGCTTTTTTCCCTCCTCTCCCGGTTTAGCCAGAAACCATCGCCTCCGTCCTACCTTCCGCTTCCGCCTCCCTTGCTCGAAACCATCGCGGTACAGTCGCTACTGAAGCTAGCTGGGAAGGCAACGATGAGATCACGGCGTTAAAAGATCTCCGAAACTCCCATATCCCGTGCTCTCCCGCTCGACTAACCCTCGTCTTTCTCTTCCTTCCTCCCACCACCCTTCGCTCGCTTCAGCTCCTCTAGATCTCGTAAATAAACCTCCAACGGATTTATTAAATACGGGATTTAAGGCGAAGCGGAGGAGAAACGGGATTTAAGATCCTGGAGAAGTTGTCATTTTTGCTGATTGACAGTATTTATGTTATATCGTGCTAAAATTCTGCTACCAAACAGCTTGGGATTTTGATCGGTGATGGCGGAAGTTATTATTGGCTCTTGGAAAGAAAGTAAGGCTGCTAAGCTTGTCTTTGGCGTGGTTGGGATCATGGGCACTCTTCTCGTCTATGGCGTTTTGCAGGTTCATTCATAATATTATTTTTTTGGGCTTCTTATATATGTTGATTTATTGTCCATGTTTTCTCTCTAGTTTGTGGTCTTGAACGTCAATTAGAAATTCTCCGAAAAGCATATTCATGCACAATGGACCTGTCAATGCATGGTTATTTTTTATTTTTAATTAAATCAGAATGATATTAATATTTTAGTATTTATGAACTTCGTTATTTGTTAAAATGGCACACGCCCACAAAAACTAAGTTTGAATTTCAACATTATCTGAATTGCTAACGGATTACTGTTTCGTGCAGGAGAAGATCATGAGGGTTCCCTATGGAGAAGAGAAAGAATACTTCAGATTTTCGTTGTTTCTTGTTTTGTGCAATCGTATTATAACTTCAGCAGTTTCGGGAGGTGTCTTACTGGTAAAATTTTCATGCTGATTTTCATATCATGTTTAGTAGTTTTAATTGTTACTGATTAGTACTGCTCTTCAGATCAGTGAAAAGACCTTGATTCCTGCCAGGCATAAATATTGTGCATTATCATTATCCAACATACTTACAACAACCTGTCAATACGAGGTCAGTTTCCAATGTTTTGATGAAGATTGTTTTTTACATCCCATTAACTCTTTTCTTGCAGTGGCAGAGTTATTTTTTTTTATTTTGGCATACTTTGAAAAAAAAGCGGATATTTGTTTTCAGGCACTAAAGTATGTTAGTTTTCCTGTTCAGACACTTGCTAAAAGTGCAAAAATGATACCTGTAATGGTAAGTCTGTACATTTTAGTTTATTACAGAATTGTTCTGTTTTTTTTAGTTTTAAATGTATTTTGGGTGCTTTTGGAGAAGTTTTCATGGCTTATTCCTTAACACATGGCCCATGAAGATTTTCTTAACCATCAATTGTGTTTATATACTATATATTTTCTAAGTATGCTATATCTAATAATGTTATTATGATATCAATGAGGCTCGCTGCAGAAGAAAACATATTTCCTCTAGTTTTTGGCACAAACATTCGAGTTAAACAGTATTCTGGAAGCATAAAAATTTTTATTTGATCAGAAAGATTTCATTTGGCTTGTTTACCTTAGCTTGTTATCACTTATCACAAAATTGTGTAATGAAAAGTACTAGCAAAATACTATTTATAGTCCCCGTTATCTTAAGGGTGAAAGGGCTCTATTTTCTTTGAAATTGGAATTTATTACTGCAGTGTTCAACAATTTGCTTCATGGATTGAAACTTTAAGAAGATTTTTTACTATTTTATAAGAAAATAAACGAAGTAAACTTGGTGATCTTTCAACAATGGGGATGGAGTTATCTGTTTGTTCATTTTTTGTTGTAATCGGGCTTTTCAAATTGTGATGGTATAGATCCATTAGTGAGAAAATTTTTCTTTATTTTTAAATGTTGTATTACATAGGGGAAAGGCGCATTTGAATGCACCCTTTAATAATTAAAATCAGCTTAATTCAGGACAAATAACGATAAATAAAACAAAATGAAAATGTTGAAGGGTCAAATGTGAGGATCACCTCCTATCAAGTACCCAAGTGTTTGAAAATTCATTGAAGGAAAGGTACTGTTTGTTATCTTTTTTCCTAAGTATAAATTTATTATTTTATCTACAATTTATATGAAATATATTTGTTCACTATATTATGATATTTCTAGACTAAATCTAATTTATGCAAGAAGCTTTTACAACTCTTTATTGTTTTTATTTAGGTTTGGAGCACAATCATTATGCGGAAGAAATATAATGGAAAGGACTATTTCTTTGCTTTCCTTGTAACCTTGGGTTGCTTTGTATTCATTTTATATCCGGTAAGTAATGTTCTCGGTGCATTTAATTTTGATTGAATTTTTGATAAATTCTCTACACTGCTCACAAATCTGCTCAATATTTGATATTATTGTGTTTATGATTATTTGTTGGTAAATGAATTTTAAGTTCTCCAAATGAGTATGATTTTTCCTTTGATTTGGTTTCCAGTTCTTTCAAATGTCTTGGCATCCTCACATGTAAAGCTAATTATGTTATAGGGCAATACATTCAAAGCTATGATGTTCTCCATGTTTTACTTTCGTTAGAATAGATGTGGTAAGTTAATAGCCTTTGATAATTCCAAGCAATAAACTAAGGCAAAACTTGCATGCCATGAAGATGCATAAAAAATTAGAAAGTCTCTGAACCTCTTATTTAGTTATTTAAGAAAATTTTAGCCATCTAAAAATGCATTTTATTAAATATCTCTTTCCTTTATTGAAAATTAGAAAGTCTCTGAACCAAAAATGCATTTTATTAAATATCTCTTTCCTTTATTGGGGACTAGAATTATGAGTGTTATTACATGTTGTAAACCATGTCAGTTCGGTTGTTACGGATGATCATCCATAACTCAGACCATTTATGCACAAATGCTTTAGAGTCACATATTTTGGAATGTTATTCTTATCTTGAAACAACTTGTTTTTTTGAAAGGCCATTCTAGTTTTTCACTTAATTTTATGCATTTTCTGTTTAAGGATACTCTCTTGGGAATTTAGGAGCACTTACAACCTTTTTACTTGGGAATATGGAGGACATTATAGATAGAGGTATTAACTTTATTAGATGTAACCTTTTGTCCATATATCTTTTAGAGATATGTTTCCTAGATGTCTTGCTTCAATGTCTATTTGTGGAATATTTAACGAGACAAATATTTTAGGAATTCAAGTCATGTTTCTAGGCAATGTTTATGAGAGATCACTTAGGGTGCGTTTGGGGTGGATTTTCTATAGCTTATGCGTTTTCAAAATGGAGGGAGGGCGTTTGTTTCTTGCGTTTGGAGTGCGTCTGGCCAAACATGATTTTGCGTTAATACATAGACGTGGCCCGCAGCCTCATCCCTGCTGGTCAGCGTCTCGATCTATTTTTTACTTACATACCCCCCCACACTCGCCCTCTCCCCTGCGTCTCGTGCCCTAGGTCTCGATCGTCTTCCCTGTTCTCGTCGCCCTCTCCCTTGCGTCTCTGGCCCTAGGTTTCGATTGGTCTTCTCGTTCTCTCCTATGCGATCCAACATCTTTGGACTCTAAGTATTTGACAATTTTACTTTGTCGTGATCCGTAACATTGGAGCATTCCTTATGAATGCCTCTTCTAATTTACGGTGAAGTGTTTTCCGTGCGAAGTAAGATGGTATTTGACAATTTTACTTTGTCGTGATCCATAACATTGGAGAATTCCTTATGAATGCCTCTTTTGATTTACGGTGAAGTGTTTTCCGTGCGAAGTAAGATGTTGCATATGCTTTGTATTTGTCTGAGGTTCTGTTGAGCATCGTTTGAGATGGTTTTCGTTTTTTGATGTTCGAATGCAGATCTGAAATTTTCATTTTGGAGAAATGAGGATGTTTGTATGAGATGGTTTTCGTTTTTTGATGTTCGTTTTTTTGACGTTCGTGGTTGCTAAAATTTCTGAGATTGTCCTTCGTTTTTTAAATTGCCATTAGTTGTGAGTTTGGTAATTTTTGTGATTGGTATATCTGTGGCATTTTGGAGAAATGAGGATGGAGGATTTTTGGAGAAATGAGGATCGATGATTTTTTTTTGGTTGCCATTAATTTCTGTGATTGGCATTCATTTTTGTGATTGACATAGTTTGGTCATTTTGGAGAAATGAGGATGTAGCCATTGCAATTTTGTTGCAAACAACATAACAGCTGCGTGTCAGAATTGTCATTTCTCCAGAAAAAGCTGCAAATCAGTTGTTTTTCAAATGCACAAACCAAACAACTAAACAACTTATTCAGAACATGGGCAAAATGATGATTATCCAGAATCAGCTATTTTCCAAGCACACAGACTAAACAACCATCCAACTTATCATGATAAGCTGCTGATCAGCAGATTATCAGTATAAACTGCTTATCTGGATAAGATGGATAAGCCGCAGCTACCCCAAACAAACCTTTAGTTACTAACTTTTGAGTAGCCTTGTGGAAACTTGCTAGGAGACTTGTGATTGACTTCCAAATTTTGTTAGTCTACCCTCTTTGTTAGACATGGAAAGCCTTGTAAATGGAGTTCTGAACCTTTGAGTTTTTCCACCAACATCCTTTTATGGTGGATCTCTTGTTGATGTGTTACCCAATGTTATGCCCTTGTTCTCTCTATTTAGCATCTTTCTTTTATATATCGAGTCTTGCATTGAAGCAGTTTTTTAAAAAGACACTTTTTGTCATCATTTTGAGGCTATATCTTTTTACTTTAAGGATAACAGGTTAGTAGATTTTTGGCGACAAGGGGTGATCGACCAATCGGCGTTGGTTGGCAATGGTGGCGGCGGCGAGGTGACGATGTTGGCTAATGCAGGTGATCGGGATATCATTTTTTTGAAAAAAAAAACAAAACACCCTATAGTTATTATTAATATCTTACAAAATAACTTGATTTATTCTCAAGAATAAAAATAAAAATAGTTCCAAAATACTTACCGAATAAAGAGTAATGCCAAATAGGCCCTTAAAAATTGATTTTTTTATTGCAATGCACATGTGAATGCACATATTAAGATGATTTTTCATGATTTCGAGATCAATTGGGAGTCAATAAGGTCAAAACTAGGACATAGACTTCTTTGTCAGATCAATTTGGTTGACGCTACATATATGAGTTCAGATTTTGGTGTTTTAGGGCCCTGATAGACGATTTAAGTGATTTTTCCATGATAAATGAGCACCATGTTCATTGTTTTTTATGAGTTCATTAAAACCTGTAATTTTTTTTTTTTAAGTCCAGGGGACATTGATATGTTTACATAGCATGTTTTTGATATATTAATAGCCTTATTAATAAATTGACATAAATGTTTGTGTCATGTGTGCGTATATAGATATACACACATAAATATGTATTGATGCCATTGTTTCTTCCTTAGGAAATAACTGATTTCTATTTACTTTAATGAAGGGGTTGATAACCAACGAGCCACCTAAAGGCTGAATTTTTCCTTGATTAGGGAAGAAATAATCTATGTTGGCGATATTTGAGGGACATAATAACTAACGGGCCGCACAAAAACTGATTTCAAGGAGAAATTGTGATTTCAAGGAGAAATTGTAGTTGGTGGGTGGCCAATGGTCCTATGGAAGCTGCAATAGCAATGGGAGAGCATCCTTTGGCCTTCAACTTTATGACATGGCAATGTACTTCCCATGAATTGCTGACTTTGAGCTTACTATTAGGTGTACAAAATTCACTCAACACTTCAACTCAACTCAAACTAGACTAAAGAAATTTGGATACGAGGGTGATCTAATTAATTATCAAGTCGGGTTTGGGTCAAATATAAAATGTATAATTTATTTGATTGAAATTGGGTTGATCCGTCAACCGAAAATTGACCCATTAACTCGATATTAACATGAATAGTTCTTATACACGTAATAAATGGATTATATAGGTTGGGCTCGAGTTTATCAGTTTGAAGGCGGGTTGGGTTCTGATTAGACTTTCAAACCTGTTTAATATTCAGGAATTGTGGCTTAAATTAAAAGTTTGTATGAATCCTCTTTCTGGATTTAGTGACTTTGGGAAAATTATCTGTCTATAAATTAGAAAATTCTATTTATGGACTCAAATAATTAACTTTAGCCTGGTTTGAAAATTCACCAAAGGTGTTAGTCAATAGGGGTTCAAGCATGCTCACTCTGATCTCACATTCTTCTTTAAGTACTAGTATGATAAGTCTATCATGCTAATTACGTATATTGATGACGTCATTGCTAAGGAAGATTGTGACCTAGAGTTAAGTTCTTTAAAAGGAAAATTTTCAATCAAACACTTTGGGCATCTCATGTATTTTCTTGAAATGAAAATCTCTAAAAATTAATACAGGCTTATCATCTTTTAAATAAAGCATCTTTTATGATTTATTTTTAGAGAAACTAGCTTAACTATATGCAAATTGGTTGACACTCCACCTGATCCTAACATTAAATTGCATCTTATTAACATCATTTCTCCAATTAACAAATGAAAATATCAAGGTTAGGTTGAGAAACTCTTTTAGTTGTCTCATACCAAACTTGACATAGTTTTTGCTTTTAGTTTTATAAGTCGATTCATGCATGCTCTCTCTGAAGAGCATATAAATGCTATCACTAGGCACCATTTACTAGGAGTGTAGTAATGTACGTGAGAAGACACAATGGAGTGTGCTAACAAGGTGGGGAGATAATAGAACAAGTACATGAGGGGAGAGGCACAAGTGATTCGAGGTCGCATGGTGCTGAGAGTGTATTAGAGGACAACAAAGGGCTTTATTAGCAAGAATGCAGCACATCCATTGCATAAAGTGTTTTAATAGGGTTCTGAGGAGATTTTGTGAGTTAATCTCAGAGTGGGGGTGCGAGAGATGGGTTGGCATGGTGTAGTGTTGTGGAGTCACAAGGGACGTGGACTAGGACTTATGGAGTTAAAAAAATTGATATGTGATTACAAGTATGTTTATTTATATTTATATTTATTTATTTATTTTTATTATTATTTTTTTTGTTGCAAGCTTTGAGGGACTACGCCAGTAGGAGTGTACTATAAGACAAGGTAGGAGACATAATATAGTGTTCGAGCATGTTGGGGAGACGAGATGTTGAGTATTTGATATGAGGGTGTATGTTGGTAACTGGTGAGAGCCTAAAAGAAGATGGGAGGAGCTGGGGAACATGAACGAGAAAGTCCTTTCAGTAGATACTTTTGGCTACTTTTGAGGATCAAATGCAAGTGAGATGCTTTTGGAGTGGGCACAAGAGATTAAGGCTTCTATGACAACATGTTGCATGATTGTTGGGTGTCGGTTGGGGTTTCTAGAGCCGAAGAGGTTGATTTGCATTATGATGACAATGTGTGTGATTTAGTGTATTTTATTAATTTTTCTTCTATTGAATTGTTTCACTTGGCAAGCTGTTACCAGTTATGCAAGCATGTTGATCTATTGTAATAACACTATATTTCATTGATGTTGGACTATTATTTATAGTTCTTATGTATGGAAATGTGCATCTTTATCATATAGGAATGCCCGGTAAGAATATCTTAATATAACTCTAAGGGATCCATGCCTCACACCATCTCATTGATGTATGTTGTGGTGATCATGAATCCAATTCACATTGATGCCCAAATGGTTTGCCTTACCTTATGAGAAATCCGCTTCGATGGATAGGGATGTGATTATTATGTGGTTAATAAAATTAAGGATATTTTAAAGGTTTCGTATAATCAAATTCTTTTGAATACTTTTATAAGATGACGCTATCCGCTTCGTGCTGCACTTGGATGTATCATTAATGTTAGGCTTTTTTTGGGGTTTTGGCCTCGCTCAAATACATAAAACTTTTGCTCGATCTGGAAGTCACAATTGTCAATGTGCTCTTTGGTTGTCATACATTCACTTTATTTGGCATCAACTATGGATGATGTACCAACATATTTACTTGGAGTGGCCACAGTTCTCATTTTTCTTATTATATTTTTGCTTGACTTTGAAAATCCTTCTGTAATTTGCTACTTAGGTGAGGCTGACGCCCAAAGTTTTAAAGAAGTCTTGAATCTCCAACTTGACTTGCAAGTTCTTTAGAAGTTTGATAATGAGCTTCTCAGGCACCTTACTTTTATGGAATGACTCTTCCGTTGTCACAAACAAATGCTGAAACTCCACTGTATAAACTTGCGTAGAGTACTGCTGCCCTTTGTATGATAGGTTTCATTTGGCTGCTTGTCATTTTCAATACAGGAGCATATAATACTTCTTTAGGTTAGATACTGCCAGGCGACAGAACTCTTCAAATACCCATTTCACCTAGCAAGGGCACGGTTAGTCAATTTCAATTGTGTAAACTCTGCGCTTTAATGATGTCATACTTGTAGATATTGAATTACATCTCTAATTATGTGAGCCGTGCAACTTGGAAATATCGATCTTGGACTTTGCTTTAAAGGTTTTTAGCTGGGAGTGGAACCTAGCTTTTTTTTAACTTCATGACCAACACTTGCTATCTTCACCTCTTTTGCATCTCCATATCCAGTAAAGTTGATGCTAGTTGGGACTTTGAACTACCTGAAGTTGAATCTTCCATATTATAGGTAACATGGGCTTTTACCGCGAGAATGTTGGGTGGAGCACCCCGTTGCCCTCACATAACATTCTTCTCAAACTTTCTATAAATAAGGATGTCCTTCTGGATTTTATCTATTACCTGGCGACATATGATTCCTAATTCACGTATTAGGACGTAGTAGACATTTATTCCATGATTTCATTTATAAATAAACATATGATTATCTTAATTTCATGTTTTAGGATCTGATAGTGTTTTTATTTTTTCCTATGGATATTGTCTTTATTTTATGAAACCCTATATATATAAATTAAAGGTACTAGTACTTGTATTAGGCCGTATTATATTGATTAATGAAAGAATCTATCAACCTTTTTTGGCTTTCAACTCTCTCCTCCACCATGGCAGCCCCTTTATAAAAAAAGGGAAATTCTTTTTATTTTAAGTATTTGATTGCTTATCAGTTTCTCTAATGTGCTCAAGAGTTTAAAAATGTGCTACATTGTGGCTAGATTGGTTGATTCATTTAAATTATCTTTCTATTTGAATATCAAATCACATTGGGGTATTAATTTTTCTTTTTTTATCTTGTAAGTTTAAGTGGCTTTTAGCATGTGCTAATATGTAACTGTTGTTGATGCAGGTATCAGATGCTATCAACACACATCAAGCAGGAAAAGAAAATACTCTGTGGGGCATTTTCCTTATGATTGGTTATCTTGGGTATTGCACTCTAAATATATATATATTTTGCAATGAATGCTTTATTTCATAACTTTTTATCTAAAAGTTTTTGCCTCTATAGAGTAATCGTGTCCTATGCTGATTTATATGCTCTGGACTTTTTATTATGTAGATTTCAATGCATAGTTCAGGTTACATTGTTTATTTCTCTTTACTAGTTTAAATAATAAACATAATTAACACAGGAAACTAGAAATGGGATACTAAATGAACTCCAAAAGTTCTTTTTTAACAAGGCTAATATTTATCTTTGATACATTTTGATGAATTTGCTTCCCTAAAATTAGAGGAAACCACATTATCATACCCAACTGGTATTTTTGGTAACATCCTTTCTCGTATTTCTTACTTTTTTGCTCTGCAGAAAGAATTTTTTTACCCAGCTCCTATGCAATATTTTTATTCTATGATAAACCTTATTATTTTCTTGAATTTTTCTCCGGTCATTCTCATCTTTTCATTAACATGCTGCATGCAACTGATGATGGCTTTTTGTTTATTATGTAGGTTTGATGGCTTTACCAGCACGTTTCAAGATAAACTCTTCAAGGGTTATGACATGGAAATACATAACCAAATATTCTACACTACATTATGCTCTACTTTTCTTAGTTTTTGTGGTGAGATTTTCTTAATTTACCCCTTTGACAATATTTTTAAGGAATGAATACAAAATGTGAATTTATAATACTGACCTCTATTAATTGAGATAAGACTAATGATAATGATAATGGTAATGATGATATACTATTTTCTTATGTTCACCGTTTAACTATATATTATTGTATTTCATATATGTTATAAAATTGATATGATGAATAATAAAATAAACAAAATGGGAACACATATTTTAGGTGGAAAACTTGGCACAGGGAAAATCATGCGCAGATGAGGAGAATTCACTATATCAAACGAAAAACTAATAAATAGAGTGTTGGCTTACATAAGATCAAACTAAAGAATTAGGATTGTAATCAAGCCGAGTCGAGTCGAGTGTCTCATGTATTAGACTTGGCTTGGTTGAATAATAAGTTGTTCTTATTCAGTTCAAGCTTGATATGGGCTTTCACATATATGCTCATACTCGATTTGTTTAAAATTTTTAATGTCCATACTTGATTTGTACTTGGTTTGTTTATATTAATTCAAAAATTAAATATTTGAATGGATACTTAATTTCACATATAAAATTTTAAATTTATTTGTAATTGATTTTTCATATAAAACTAGTAAACTAAGTTAAAAATTTAAACAAGTACTTAATTTTTTTATATAAAATTATTAAAAAATAATTTTGTAAATCGAAATAAATATGCAACTGAGTAGATTTTAAATTAACATTTAACTCGTTTATATTAAGTAAATAAATTAAAATATAAGTTGTAAGGAAGTTTTTTTGCAATCTAATAATATAAATAAGTTCTAATAAATTAGTTAATCGAATAAATTTTTTTAAAAAAACTACATTAAGTTTATGTGCATAATAATATTAAATTCTAATATATTATTAAATAAGTTTTATTTAATTATAATTTTTTTAAATAATATATCATATAAATATAGAGTATTTAACAAGTTATACTGAACAACAAATAAGTTTATCATGAATATTAATAAACAAGTTTGATTATGTTCAAATTTGGTTCATGTAAGCTTCGAGTTTTTAAAAAATGTTCAAAATTGCTTAATAAAGCAAGAGCACATGTATTAAAATCCAAGACTATTATAGAATTAATCCAATAGTTGGGGCCTTCAATCCACATGCTTATAATTTTCTTTTATGGCAAGTGGGGCCCATAGAATTTGGGTCACATATTCAACAATATATGATGCAGGGCATCATATTGGATCTAAAGTTCACCAACCAGAGCTTACGATTAAACATACTAAGAGTACACAGAAGATCACAATTCATAGTGTCCCATGTCTTTAATCAGCCAAATGTTCATCTCTTTGATGCTAAACTAGAAATCACTTTGATGTAAAACTAAAAAGAATGTGCAACTTGCTCCAAACAATACATTAAAAGTCATCAAAATATAAAATTTTGCAAGGAATAAATCCTTCACAATGATTTAGGATTCACAACAAAAAAAAAAAAAAAGGAAGTATGACATGCAATGAATTTGATCAATCTTAATTGTACTTAATGTTTAATATTCAATCACAAAATCATCCGATGAAGAACAAGATTAAAACTTCAATTAAAGATTTGAGCCGCACGCCTATAAACGGCCAATAAAGAACTAAGACAAAACTTCCAAATCAATCGACTAGATAGAACAAGGAGCTTGTAAAAAGTGATCAAGGGAATTTGAGAGCTGAATTAAAAACAACTAGCAACTAGAAACCAAATTCAACAAAATACTAACGACACGAGAGAGCACATCCCGTGCTCTTTATCTTACATTTTTGAAGAGCATGTAAACTTTGAGATTTTATTAAATCTTACTTAGATTGGACAAATTTCGCTTATAATGAATTATGTATTTGATATTTGCTATGTAACTTGTGCATAACTGCAATGCTTTCTGCATGTAATCCATGAATAATCACAATTAAGTCTGTCATGTCGAAGCACAATATATTTTTATATTTATCTTTGCTTGTGGACATTGTCTCGTCATTTAATAATAGCTTCAGGAACAATATAAATATGTTTATGGGGTTTGGTAAGTTCTAGATTTCTATTCATGAGATGAGAAAAAGAGAGGAATTCAAAACATTTGTGTCATGTTCCTGAAACAAGGTTAAATCAGGTACATCAAAGAACGGGCTAATACTAGTTCTGGAAATTTTTAGTTTATAAACATTTGTCTCAATGTGTCAATTGATTTAATACGACCCATCTCTTTGATTGTAATCTCCCGAATGACCTTGGAGGAAGCCTTTCAGGAGTCAAACATACCGTTGTCTTCTCACTTAATTTGAATTCTGATCATCTTTGGTTCACACCAATACCAAACTTAGTAGTTTCTCATATCTTAAGGTCTCGTATTAAACCCAGAAGATTGAAGTTATTAATTTCTCAAATTCTCTAAAGAGCTAGCAAAGATTTGCAAGTTTCAATTAAAAAATCTCATTTTTTAGCTCAGTCAACAAGTTTCACTTTTCAATAAATCAATTTGTTCTATAGAAAAGGAAACAAATAGTTGAAAGGAGCAATAGTGAGAAAATCCTAGAAAGGAAAACAACCATGTGATAAGTATATAGAATTTATATTTTTGAATGGTGAACTGGAAGCAACTAACTGCGACTTGGAACTTAAGAAAAAGAAATGTTCTTTCAATATTTTGATAATATCCTTTATTGAAATTCTCATAAGCGACAATAATCTTTTTTAAGATGATCAAAGTCTATCATCTTGGCATGCATAGTATGCAGAATAACATTCCCTACTCAAAGCAGCAGCTGATTTCTTTTCAACTCGAGCATAATTTTTTAGTTTGCTGCAAAATTCCAGTTCATTTAATACTCCTACCCTCTATCTTCTTTGAAGTTGTGATTATTTTAAGCTTAATGATTAAATTATAAGAGAAATTCTTTACACAATAATGTATCCAATATAACACTTAACCTCAATGTGCTTAGGTAACCCAATCTGTAAGTTAAGAGAAAATAGCACCAAAAGTCTCTTGAACATTGGTGGAGACTTAATGAACATCTCTTAACAATGAAAGCATAATACTATATTGGTGGAGACTTAATAATGAACATCTCTTAACAATGAAAGCATAATACTATCTGTAATTAGTAGACTGAAATATAATAATGACAGATCTCTTGCAAAAATTCCTAGAGATTGTAAGAGAAAGATCGCACCACTACATCCTTTGAGTTTGATGATGAGCACTTGAGCACTCAGTTTTTTTTTTTTTTTTTTCAGAACCACTCTTGCAAATGTTTAACATGTAAGCACTTGAGTTTTTGGCCTCTAATGAACAAATAAGGGGCCTATTTATGAGCTGATAAAAAACTCATCTCAAGTCCTCCCAATGGTTACAACACTTTCCAACGACAACAACAAAACCTTTATCCCACTAAGTGGGGTTAAAACTTCCCCAAAAGCTATCAAATTCAAATACTTAGAAATCTAAGTTATTGACATTATTATTATACAATTGGTTCAAATTGACCATTTTTTCGTTTGATCGAAATTGTTAATGGAATCCATGATGGTTTATCTCGCTTGGTGGTAAAATTTTTAATAATGGCTATCTCAATGGCTAATCTCTAACTCAGATGACATTGTATACCCACAATCATACTATATTATCCATATTGTTTTATATGATTCTTATCGTACTATACGATTGCCCAGTGAACTGATGAGCCATGGACATGATTTTGTGTAGCCATCCCATTAATCATAATGCCTAATTATAATTATATTGAAAAATAGTTTTATCAAGCTTTATAACAGTAATACTTAAGTTTAAAATTTTTTATAATTATAAATAAAATATTGGAATTTTTACATACTAACAACCTAGAACATTAAATGTGACATACAGGCCGCCCAAACTTAAAATTTTACAGTTCAAACACCCAGAACTTTGCCCCTTTTGAAACAACCACCCCGTGACGGAACTCTTGCCTTAGTCGCTCTCTCCTCACTCGCCGATTAGCACTGTTTCGTACTTCGTCAGTTGTCTGTGGTTGTCATAGGCGATAGTCTATATTTCCCACAAACTTCAACAAATTCCCGTCTGAGTTGGAGACCACAGTGAACTGCACAGTGAAGTCTGATAAATGATCCATCCAAGTTGCTAATGGAGAGCAGTTTTCAAATAAGCTCCCTTCTCCCACGACAATCTTCTGCTCTTTTCCCCTATTCACCAGCCTCGAAGCTCAATAACTTTTGTCATTCTGATGAACGATTTATCCTATAAATTGTTCTGTATACTGTGCAGGAATTGGTTTTATATTATTTTTTATCCTTTTCATTTACTAGTCAAACTTATGCAACGCAATTGAATTTGAGAATTCTGAACCAATGCTGACGGTATTGATATAATCCCCGGATCTTTATCCGTCAGTGGATTCTGTTGATCGGATTTAGCAAAAGCTCCACAATTTCTTCTTAAGCCATGGAGTTTGAGAAGCTCATCAAATTCTTCAGCCCTTGATGATTACTTGCACACCTTTTAATACCTGTTGGAGTTCAAGGCTGATCAGTTAAAAACCCCAATTTCATAATTGATGTTATTTTGCTGCTAGATACTCTTTTCCTCCTAAAGTCTGCTGTAAAGTGCAATGATTTTTGTAATTTGTTGTTGAGTTTACTACTTTAATGTTATTATCATCCAATTCTCTTTTAATCCTTGCATTTTGTATCACTTGTAAATACAAATGATGCATTATCAATTCCTCTATTTTGCATTAAGAAACTTGGAGTGATGAAAATAACAGACAGGAATTCAAGCTTTCATATTATTATTTTCTTTACCTTATTGTTTATGCTTTTCAAAGGCAATTCTTAGAAGTGAGTCAAGTGACTATTTGAGCAATAATGATGAAATACCAGAAATATCCATGCATGCTGTATAAAGTGTAGGAATTTACAAATGTTTCAAAATTTATGTCATCCTATGAAAACTTGTGTCTGGAGAGCTGCTATTTATTCTCCTTTTTTTTAGCTCGTACAAAGCATAAATTTTAGAGAACTTCTGTATATCATATTTGAGAGTGGTATTCCACCTCTTTTTTTTTCATTTTCGTTTAGGGGATTTGCATACATACCACTCATTTCTTATGTATTTACATATCTTACATCTAAAATTGACTTCTTACATTTAGATCACTCAAGCCTTTCTTATCGCATAAAAAGTATCACCATTTTAACTTTTAAAAATTGAAATACTCCTTTTCATGCATGGGTAAGGTGGTGTGTATGTAAAAACTGAAGTTTAAGTTTTAGATATGTAAATACATAAGAATTGAGTGATAATTAAGTAAATCTTTCTTTTCCTTAGAAATTGTGGGTCCTTGGTGATTAAAAACATGTAGTAAATCTTTCTATTCTTTAGAAATTGTGGGTCCTTGGTGATTAAAAACATGACCATTCCATAGCCTTGTCAATGAATTCTTTAATGATACTTAGAATTTACCTCTGTAAAAATTTCCATACGCTGCCTCATCTTTCTTTGAATGAAATCTTTTGCGCGCTGCTGAGTTTAGTTAGGCTTCGGACTTTTGAGATAGTTATTTGAATAACTAATTACCTTAACATGTTATTTAATATATGCATCGAAATTCAGAAGATTCCATTCAACTTTATAAGCTCTTTCACCTTTAACATGATGACGAAAAATGTCTATACAGAAAGAAAGAAGGAGCATATACATAAATAGGGCACAATTCTAATGTATTTACATATCTCACACCTGACTTTCATATTTACACACATGGTACTCAAATCATTGATATAACATAAAAAATTGCAGTATTACCTCTTGTAAAAGTGAAATACACCTTTTCATACATAGGTTTAAAGCTTGCCATCTATTTAAATATGAAAATTTAGGTGCTAGATTTGTAAGTACATACAGAGTCTTGAGTATACTTCCTGTTGTCGCATGCAGGAATTTTAATTAATCCATATGAAGCTAATGCACGGAACAAATTGAAGAGATAATAGCATGTAGTTGGCACAGGTTCTCCTTAGAATAAAATTTATGTTAAGCATTTAATATTCATTGGAAAATTTTCATACATAGCACTCAATTTCTATGTATTTACATATCTAATACCTAAGCTTAAATTTTTACTTATATGCCACCTTATTTTTTGCGTGAAAATATGTATTTCACCTTTTAAAAATCAAGATAGTGATATTTTTTATGTGATACGAAAGGTTTGGGCGGTTTAAACATAAAAAATAAAGTTGTGGTGTTAGATATGCAAATACATAGGAATTGGGTGGCATGTATGTAAATGCCTCATATTTATTCTATGATGGTTGGTTACCAATCTCAAAAAGCATCAATTTTTCTATTATTAATTACTGTACCAATAGTTTCAGTAACTCTTTGTTAGACAAGTTAAACAGTTGTAAAAGAACAATAAATAGTGCTCAAAGGGAGAGGGAGTTTTGAGGACTAAATTATGATATTCTAAAACTACTTTAAATTGTTGAAACGATTTACATGTTGGATGTAATTTACAAAAAATATACCAGCCTTATGATGAAGAATGGCTCTCTTGGATAGACAAGTTTGATGGGATTGCGCACCCCATAAACAAGTCTTGAGAACCAATATTCCGCAAAATATTTTTCGATTACGAGTCCAATATGCTTGCTTGAAGGGATGAAATTTCTATGACAGTCTTAATGCGACCTTATAAAAAAAATGATTGTTTATTTATTTTATTAGTAAAGATGTAGAAAATGGGGATCTGGAGACACTTAGATGAGTTTAAGTATTTAAAGAAAATAATATGATGGGGAACGTTTTAGCTTCTCGAGACTCCATAATATTTACCACTACATAGTGTTATTACCGTTCCAATCAAATCTAGTATTGCCTTTTTTGTTTGCTTGGTATATTAACAACGTTCAACTGCTCACTTGCATCATGTGTGATATATTATTACTTAAATTTTATGTATATTGTATGTTCCTAACTCTATAATAAGCTATATATCAAGTGGAACTCTCTTGTAACCAACAGCCATAAGCTTTCAGTATAAAAATTCAATATAAGGTCTGCAACAGAAAAGAAACCTGGCACTAAGACTATATAGTTAGTGGAAGCACTTCTGTGTTTGATAGACTTTGCTCTACCAATAATTTTGGTTCCAAGACCAAGGCTGCTGGCATGCTTCGCATGGCCTTCAATGATGCCACTGGAACATATGATACAGAGAATCATTCAGGTTTTCATTTTAAGAAGAATTTTTTTTTGAGAAAAAAAGCTTCTCGTACTTTGAGGGGCTTTTTTGGTGTATATGTGTGAATTTAATATCCATCATGCTTAACTTTCCTTATCTCTGCTTCTTCCTGTGACTAGACCTGAGATTCCCTGCTTTTTTGTGCGAGCAGAATTCGGGCTCCTCTTTGTGCGACCAAAATCGAGAGACGGTGTCATGGCAAGCGATAGGGTCAGAGGGCGGAGCGACGGAGGCTAACTACGGAGATTAAGGAGACAGGAGGAGACGGGACAAACGGAGTGAGAAACAGCAAGCGACGGAGGTGAGGGAATTGTTTGTGGGCGAGCGATGGAGGCTTTTTGAGTGGCTGCTTCAAAAGGGTCTTAGGTTTAGGATGGTTTAAATGTAAAATTTTAAGTTTGAGTGGTTAGTCCTTTATATTTAAGATTTTAGGTGATTAGTATGTAAAAATCCCTAGAATACATGGGTTATCTTCTATTCTAAAGTGGCTTTTAACCGTGACCCAGAATTATGCTAGTCATTAATAACAAGAACCTGGCTATTAAAATAGTAATGCCAGCGGTCTCCCATCTTTGAGTAAATTTCTCATGATTGAAGTGGAGAGTCCGTCCATGTTTGTGTAATTTCTTATTTTCAAACGAATAACATGATGACTACTTGATGCTCACCTAGTTACTAAGAGAGTTTTTGTGATGGTTATTCCATCTAGTAAGCATTTTGTTTTAGTGTATTATTATTATTATTTTTTATATAGATTTGTACATTTGGAATTTCTTGATATCTTTTTTCTGTTTTTAATTTGTTTTTCTTTTGCTTCATTTGAATATTTTAATCAGGACTTGTAGTACAGGGTCATCTACTCATGGCAATAGATTTTATGCTTCGTCATCAAGACTGCATCTTTGATGTTTTGTTGCTATCCACGGTAAGCCCAATCTAATTGTTATTTTATAAAAAAAATACTTAAGTCTCCATTATTTCTTTTGTTAGATAGTGCTCCAATGTGCCTATGCATGTATGTTCAAACAATTCTGATCAACAATTTGAATAACTATAACATCCCAATAGCTCATTTGGTTGCATGAAGGTAGAAGCTGTATTTCAAAAAACAATGAAAATTGTTAAATTCGCCATTTGGTTTGATGGAGTTAGATGCTGATAACAATTTCAAATTCTACAAACCTCAATAAAACGCCTTAAAAAATAAAGTTTTCATTCTGACATTTAAAATGAGAGAAATTGCAAAAGTACATATTTGTGACATATTTTCTATTTACAAGTAACCAAATGAGCCCTAAATGAAAATGAAACTTAGTCCCGTTTTGATTGTTAGTGGATTGAAAACATATTTTAGGAAACAATACTATTCGTTAATTAATATATGCAATTCTCACCTTCTATGCTTGTGCAGGTAGCAACTGCTAGCCAATTCTTCATTTCCTATACTATTCGAACATTTGGGGCTCTCACATTTGCTACCATAATGACCACAAGACAGGTTCATCTTTGTATTTAATTTTTTGATTTTGTTTTTGCTATTATTTTAAAATTATGTTTATATTTCTATTAAAAAAATGGAGTTAATTTGTTTTTAGGAACACTTAAAAAAATCTAAAAGTTATTTTGAGTATTTTAGTAACGATGTTACGACATATCACACATTTTATTTCAAATAAAAATATAAATAAAATAAATAAATAAAGCAAAAATCAAAAGTGATCCCAAACCCCTCTTAACTCTCTGATTCTAAATATTTTTTTGTTTCTAGTTGGTGAGCATTTTGCTATCTTGTTTCTGGTTCTCTCATCCCCTTAGTTTGGTGCAGTGGTCTGGAGCTGTAAGCATTTCCTCTCTCTCTCTCTCTCTCTCTCTCTCTCTCTCTCTCTCTTTTGGGTAGCTTGAACCCAACACCTTGGAATTCATCCTTCTCCTTTTATATGAAAAATTGTCTACTATTTTGGTATAGCTCTTAGAGCTGATGATTCAAAATCTGAGCAGGTTATTGTTTTTGGAAGTCTCTACTTCAAAAGTTTCCTGAGAAGCAATCCACATACTCAGTTGCCTTCAATTCAAACAAATGACGAAGATAAGACTCCAAGAAACAGTAATTCTTGAGACCACAATATGATCTAACTTTTAACACAAAAATTCTTTGTTATTTAAAAAAAAACTACAATGAGAGAATTTACAAATCTTAACGTTAATGCAACCTGGAAATCCTCGATGCTTACAGACTATGGTTGAGAGAGGGAAAAATAGCTTCTGTAGTCTTCTAGGAAAAGATTTTTTAGCTCTTCCCCTCCCTAAATTTGTGTATTACTCTTTTAGTTGTTTTAATAAAAGTAACTCAAGCATTAAGTGATTTTTATAGATCAGCAATGCTTCAATTTAAGGAATTCACAAAAACGTTTTTTAGAGTTTTTTTTCTTCTTTTATTTCTCTTTGGGCCGTACATATTCGAGCCTCAAGAAATATGAAAATTAAGATTTAATGTGGATTTCTTTTATGCTCATTAATCGTTTTAGATTTTGTGCTTGAGATGTGAAATAAGTCTAATGACTGCGTGTATTTTGGCTTTTTATTCATTGTGTTATGAGATGACTTGTAACAGAGTTGAACGAACTGCTAGCACCCATCGGAAGCATTATTTTATTTTTTATATAAGATGTTTTCTTAAGAAACTTTTTAAGTGTTTAATTTTTCATTAATTAATTAATTATTTATTTTGTACTATAGTGCTGTCAATAATATTAATAAATATTATGATCAATCTTAGCCTCCATGTGAGGTGGTTAAAACTCCCCCATCTTTTATGTAATATATGCCAGCTTGCCTGAATTAATTGCCTGCACAGAACTTTTCGCATCTTATATTTGGCTTTGATTAAAGCACATCAATGAAGATGACAGAAAAGAAAACGTTTGAGATTATTTTTTGTGGGTGCTAACAGGGCGTGAATTTAACTAGAAGATCGTTAAACTGGATAATTCATTCGAGCCGTAAGCCGTAACTTTGATTTCATTTTTTTTCGAATCTATTTTGAGTCATACTTGAATTATCCCACGATCAGCTCTTAGTATTTTGTTATATATATATATTGAGAGGTAAAATTTAATAGAATGAGTTAGGGGCCGATTTCGAGTTGGAACGGAACTAAATAACTCAATTTGAGCTAGTTAGGGTCCGTTTGGGGCAGCTTGTGCGTTTCAGAAGATGACATTGAAAAGAAAACGTTTGAGATTATTTTTTGTGGGTGCTAACAGGGCGTGAATTTAACTAGAAGATCGTTAAACTCTGGATAATTAATTCGAGCCTTAAGCCGTAACTTTGGTTTCATTTTTTTTCGAATCTACTTTGAGTCATTCTTGAATTATCCCACGATCAGCTCTTAGTATTTTCTTTTATATATATATATATATGTATACATATTGAGAAGTAAAATTTAATAGAATGAGTTAGGAGCCGATTTAGAGCTGGAACGGATACAAATAATTCAATTTGAGCTTAGTTTCAATTTTGAGTTGGATTGAGCTTATTCTAGGCTCAAATGGATCCAAATAACTTAATTTGAGCCAGCTCATTTGGATTTTAAGTCGGAGCGAGCTTGATTCATGTTTAAGCTAGCTTGGTTCAAGATTAAATATAATGAGCCACGAGCTGATTTTGAGACACATTAAATCTATTGGAGTAGATTTTGAGTCAATCTCGGCTTAGCTCGAAAATGGGTCGTTCACAGCTCTAGTTGTAAATTATAGACTTTGCTCATTTTGCATGGGGATTCTTAGTTGTCTTTCAAACTATTTAGGTAGAGGTTTTTTTTATTATTATTTTGTTTTTTCAGAAGTTTAGTAATTGCAGCATTCATTATCAATTAGTTGACAATTGCTTTCTTGACAACTTTTAAAGTCATAATCAACTAAGCTTCTAAATAAGTCAAATTTAGCTAGCCCTGAAATGAAAGATTTTGGTTTTTTACTCTGCGCTAGATTCAGATAGGGTCTAGTATAATAAATTTTGGAGTCACCTTAGAATTTTCTTCATCGACGCTTTAGTCCCATATCGGATAATAATCGCTTGGACTATCCTCATAATGTAGCCTATCCTCATAATAAGGATAAACTCCATAAATTTGCCTGTGGACGAATTTGTCGATGAGTTTATATAGGTGGCAACAAATATATTGTTATGATCATCTTTATGGAAAACATAATATTTAAATGAATTATAAGTCAATGGCATTGTGATAATCAATCATAATCAACAAAATAACTTTAACATGAATGACATCTAGCAACATGTGGATCGTAAGTTATGTCAAAGACATTCACAGTTGGGTGAATACTTCCCTTTTTAGGGGTTATGATGGCATGCCCTTTCATATATGTCAGGGTGAATCTTCAATATTTTTAATGCTATAATTGATAATAATACAAACTATTCATTGATTTGTCTTTATTATGGGATGTCTTGTTCCTCTGATCAAGGGGGTGTAGTTACAAGTCGCTTGTATATTTAGAATGATGAGCTTTGGAGACCAAAGTTGAAGTCACATGCCTTCCTTTCTGTTAGTATAATAAGCGTCAAACTTAAGTATTTTAACCAAAATATTTGGTTGTACAAGCCCATTTTGTAATATAATGATCCTTATTGTCGGATTGAGCTTGATTCATTTTTAATCTAGCTTGGTTCGAAATTAAATATAATGAGCCACGAGCTGATTTCGAGACACATTAAGGGTCTGTTTGGGGTAGCTGCAGCTTATCCAACTGCTACTTCGACTGCAATGGATTTTGGGTTATGAATATCAAGCATATACTGTTAAAAAGATGGCAAATTATTAAAACACTTTTTTTGGTTCGTTTCTCATATTTAGAAGAGCTTATGAGCTATTCGCTAACTTCCAAAAACTAGTGAATTTGGTGGTTAACGATCTTTTAAAGCTTCAAGAGAAGATGAATCTAGAGAGAGCCAAGAGAGCAATCACATGAGTGCTTACTTAAAAATGGTGAATAAAAAATAATAATTCAGCATGTCAATCACTACAAGGAATATTTTCACCTCAAATCAAGCAATATGGTCACTTGGTGCCAATGCACAAAATTTGTCAACATAAACTTGAGTGGGATTCAAGCTCATACTGCTTTGGGTGAGAGAGTCTTTGAACCAGCTGATTTAAGTTAATGGGAGTTAAATATCCAATAAAAAGGTGGTAGAAAGGAAGAGAAGAGATATAAATACAGTTACATGGATAGAGAGACACAAAGAACGGCAACATGATATAGGATGGTTTGATTGTCATCGAGTGCATTTAATATAATGATGAACAAGTTCCTTGATTACAGCCATAATGGAGGAAGAAGAAATGGGCAAGAAAATGAAAGAAAATATAAAGACTAAGAACATTATTAGAGACAAATTCAACCAAAATGCTTAGGGAATAATGCTCGTTGTCCAACTCCTCAAGAGATGAAACCAACAATCACTCTACCTCTTTTTTTCTAAACTTCTTTAAGATATCCCTAAACACCATATCAAAGTTGCAACGATCAAAAGATTACCCATATTTTATTTAGAAGAATTTATTTTTTAATATTTACAATTACTAATATATTTTTGTAATCAAATAAATAGAAAATAAATACATGAATACATTTTTATTCACATCCTTGAACTGTAAAGTAAAAGGGGGACACATAATAATCTTATTATAGTTTTTCTTAATAAAATAAATACACATCATCATGATTGACTAAAACATGCTTCCAATAAATTGGTATAATACTTTATTATATCACGCCCCACAATTATCAAGCATAATAGGAATATTAAAATTTGTGTTCACAGTAGATATATTTAAAAAACAATTGTATAAGTAATTATTTTGATACAATCTGATAGGTAAAATGGTATAATAAGAAAATTAATTTATTTTTTTCTTCAAATAGTATATATA